CTAAAACCGTCTATTAATATTAATGTTTCTATAACCTTTGCGCTTTTGTTTCTATGCTTTTGGTATAAATAGAATATGTGTGTGTTTTTCGAAGGAACGTAGCTATTTAGCTCATATATTAGTTATCTAGTTCACGTAATACTTACTGTGGTCACAGAAACTTTTACAGTGCATGTAATTTGACATAAGGACGTTTTGACTGGTAAGCCTCTATCTCTTAAACTCTTATAATTTGTTTTATATTTATAGATTACTACACTGCTCATATTGGTTAATTGGTTACCCTATACGTTGACAAGAATTACTTGTTCCAAAATATGGAAATAAAAGTTTCACGAAAATTATTTTAATACCTATAGAAATGGCTACTTGCCATGTAGTTCCCCGCACCTGGCGATATTACTTTAATTAACACTCCGCTCCGCTATTTAAACTCGAGAAAAAGCTAACGCATGGGCTGATCTTAAAAATATGGCCTTCAACCAGAGATGGAACGAGAAAGATTTTGAAAACACACGGGAGTCGCTGGCCTGCTATAGTTTGTTATATATTAGATATTGGATTTTTTCATACCTTGGACAATTTCTTTTCCAAGCCAGGAACATTTTGACTGTTTTCTGGTTCGTGATACTGGCCCTGGCTCTCTATTTGATCTTGTTGGCCTCTGTGAGATAAGCAAACTGTGGTTATGATGGAATATTTGCCTAGATATTTATCCTGGTCCCTGGGCTAGTAATTGATGTCTAAATATCAGTGCTCAATATCAGCAAAACTAATTTTTTTATACTGGATTTCTCTATCAGTTATAAACAGTTATCCCTAGAGGTCTATATGGATCACCTCTTATTGATCCAGTGTTACTACAGAAGGAAACCTAAACTAAACTTCTGTAACTTTATTCATACTGGATAACTCCATTAGTTCTAAATAGTTCTCCCTATACATCCAGTAAGGATCATTTCTTATCGATCCAGTGTTACAGGAGGAAACCTAAACTAAATTAAATTTTTTTATACTGGATAGTTTCGAGTTGTGTCAGTCAAGTGTGCCGCTTGTCCATCAACATACTGTATTTGAATTGTAATTGTTGCTCACAGTTTGCTTACAGTATCATCAAGTTATTGCTCAAATTACTGTATCCCATTCTGACTCTAATATTTTTTGCTTTATCAGGAAAAATACCCGACCCCCTCTGGCTAGGGCTAGAGAATGCTCCCCCCACCACACATACAACCCCCACCCCAATTGGCGAATATATCGCAGTTGATCAACTTTTTTACTGTCAAAGATTCTGGATATGATGTAATTGGAAGAATTTTTCGAGCAAAAGAATGGAAAACAAATTTACAATTCATCTCATGACATCGTATCTGGAGACTTTGGTAGTGAAAAAATTGACCAAGATGAGGTTTTTTACTATAAAGATAAAACGTACTATGGAGTTTTGAGGTTTCAGGCCAAAACAGTGTATTTTATAGTAATTTAACCACAGTAACGCTCAACTTGACCGTTGCATATTTGTATAATTATTGTTCTTGTACAATACTCTTCTTGTACAATGATCTTCGGCAAGAATCTTCTCTAATTTTTCAGTTAGGCATGCATTTCACAGCAATATATCCGCCTACCTTCGGGCAATATACACATTATTACTTTAAACAATATTGTTGTGGTCAAACAATATTGTTGTGTTACATTATCAATCAATCATATATTTATTTCCCATGTGTACAATAATAAGTAACAAAACTATGTGAAGGTGTTGGGCTAGAGACCTACTGGAAACCTTTACAGGCTTTTTAATGAAGGCCACTTGTTAGGTTTGTAAAAAAATTGCATATATGTTTACAGTGAAGAGTAATTATTGAAGTAAGTTTAAAGTATATATAATGGATCTCTTTCTATTGACGTATACCGGAAACTTACACACACTGACAGGTACTTCCATGACAAACGACACAAAGTCACCACTGCACAAACTCTCTTACATAGAGCAGCAACTTTACCAAATACAGAGGAAGGCAAACAACAAGAACGCAAACATGTAACCCAAACATTAATGTCAAACGGTTATCCTAAGAAATTTTTGCAACAAGTTGAACAGAAACGTGTCATGTTTGAAAACGGAACGCCGCCACACGAAGAACTAGTAAGATCGTTTTTTGACTTAGTGGAACCGAAGACCAATTGCAGTTACGCCGTCCTACCATACATCAAAGGACTAACAGAACCTCTTAGACGCATTCTGAAACCTCACGACATCCGAGTAACTACGAAACCTCTCCGCACACTAGAACAAATGTTTCCCTCAACAAAAGACCGACCACTACCTGAGAACCAGACGAACGTAGTCTATCAAATTAATTGTTCAGATTGCTCGTGGAGTTACGTTGGCGAGACAGGCAGGGCCTTTATAACAAGAAGAAAAGAACACGAACGAAACGTGAAAAAATGCAAGAGTGGCTCTAATATCGCGAACCATGCGTGGGCAAACGACCACAGAATTGATTTTAAAAACGGAAAAGTAATTGACAAGGGAAGCTATAGACACAGATCGACATTAGAGTCTTGGCACACTGCATGCACGAAAGACGCTGATAACAATTCAAAACATTTGCCAGAACAATATCGCTTTTGCTCAAAAAACTTTAAATTCTGCACAATATATAATTAGTCACCAATCTTTTACGTAGGCGGAACTGTCAGTAATTGTCTTTTGTGTCAGTAAATGTAATTGTAAACCGCTATTGTATGAAGTGTGATATCCGCCAAAATTCATATATTCAATTATGCAATTGGAAATTGCATTTATGAAGTTCAGTTATGCTATTATGATATTATGATATTCGATATTATGTTATTCGAATTTCATTCGGCGTGAAACAGTCATTAGTGAAATAGTAATTCGGCATGGCACTCAGAAACCAAAATTCGACTTCCGGTTCGGCATGGCACTCAGAAACCAAAACTCGACTTCCGGTTTAGCGGGAAATTGTAATTCCACCATGACCAAACGCGAAGGCAATTTAAGTCAACAAGACAGAAATATAAGTGTTGTAGACGTATTGGAAACAACTGTGTTGAGGAACTTAGACATCGGCGACCAGTATGCCCATACGGCGCAAAAAGATTTCTAAAATTCCCTTTCTGAATTTGATGTATTGACGGCAGTGCCGCCAGTCGCCAGATGATGTAGTAGCATGCGATTCGCTTTGAGAAATTATATTTGCTGAAGAAACATCATTTGATGATCCAGGATATTCTCTGATCAATCTTGCCGCTTCTTGCAACAAAGAAACAGCACACTGTTGACTTAAATTGCCTTCGCCTTCGGCCATGTTGAAATTACAATTCTCCGTGTGCTTTTCCCGCTAAACCGGAAGTCGAATTTTGGTTTCTGAGTGCCATGCCGAATGACTATTTCAATAATGACTGTTTCACGCCGAATGAAATTTCAATAATGACTGTTTCATGCCGAATGAAATTCGAATATCACAATATCGAATATCATATAATAGCATATAACTGAACTTCATAAATGCAATTTCCAATGGCAAATTGAATATATGAATTTTGGCGGATATCACACCTAATAGTATAGCACTTTTCACTTTGTATCATATCTTATATAACTAGCACATTATTAATCTACCCGTCGAAGACTGCAGACTGGCAGTCGAAAGCTTGTAATAAATAAATCTTTTTAAGGTGGTCTTATACACTAAAAACAATTTTTTTGTTTAACCATTTTTCAATCGTATTTAAGTCAAATATGATTGAGGACGTTTGACTGATACAGAATCAGTTACTTTTACATTTTGTTTTGCCATAGTAACTTAGAAATGGCTGCCGGTAGGGCAAAATATAGGGCTTGCGCCAAAAGAGATTCAAACCGAACGAAACTACAGGGAATCTCAAACAAAGTTTTAATTCGGCACCTAAAAGGTTGGTCTGTGATTTGAACCTAAAAAAACCAGAGTTTAAAGTTTAAAACCTCCATAGTTATCTTTTCTATAAGCATACGATGAAAAGGCTCCAATAAAGCGTTCTTTTCGCCGGATATAATCCCTGTGCGTAAGTGTTTTTAGGTTCAAATCATGCTTCGTTCAATGATGTATAAACTCCAAAAATTTTAGGCGAATTGATTCAGTACTAAATTCAGGAGAATTTTTGAAAGCGCGTGAGAAGCTCTTCAAGAAAACTGACTTTAAAGGTTTTGCATGCATTAGAATAACTTAAATAGAACAATTCCATTAAAAGGGACACAATAGAGTAAACCAATTGCATACCATTATATGCTCTGGGTAAAATCATGGTTTTACCTTGACTGGTGTAGATTAAACCGGATTTCTCGCGTTTTGATATACTTTCATGGTTTAAAACCAGCGGATGTTATGAAGAACAGTGTAATAAACATGTTTTTGTATTTTTGTAAAATTGGCAAATCTTAAAAATTTTTTGTATAATACCACCTTAACCAGAGAACGTTTACACAATTTATTTTCAACGTTGTTGTGCAAGCCAAAACAAAACACGAAAGATCAAGACAAATTTAAACTCAATACTATTAAGGTATGTTCTAAAAATATTTCAGCTCTTTTATAATATAAATGGAGTTCAGTAATCTTTTTAAACTTACACAACCACTTTCTTGTATTTTTTTTTACGTTGCTTGAACTTGAGATAACGCTTATGAAACCATAGTTTTCAACGATTATTTAGGCCATTTATAGTTTATCGATTTCAAAAACATGAAAACACTTCGTTTAGTGAAGAAAAACGAAACCCGACGAAGAATTGACTATGATCATTTCGTAATTTAATAAAATATTAGCAAAGAAGTCGCGTTCAGAGTAGGAAAAAATGTTTTATGGGTAAATTATATTTTAATACGCGAAACTACTTTGTTTTTACAAGGTTTGATTTTCACCGTTTTTGTCAGTAACTGCACAGTCATTTTCTTCGAGCCTTTAATTAAAGCACTTAATATTTCAAAATATATCCCCATATTACAAATTAGACAGCAAGACAAAACCTTTTGACGATGAAAACTTAGTTTTAGCTTTGTTTTATATACTTTGCAGTTTGCACTCCTATGCTCAAATTCAACATGGCGGATTTATAAGGGCATTTTTGTTTTCAATTTGGACACCGGTCACGTGACAAAGCACGCATTCTAGGTCTAATATTTCTATGGTTGCTTGGCAAATAGCAACGGCTCTCACGACAAGAAAATTCCTTAGCAAGCAGTCTCTTATTAACATAAATGAAGAATTCCTGCTTATATAGATATTGATAAATCATTTACTGTCTTTACAAGAAAAATTTTACTGCCACAGAAATGTCTGGATTGAGGGTTTAAATTAAAGCCTAATTTTATTCTACGTAGAAAGAATAGTAGAAAACCAACAGGGAGGGTGTCACCTGCTGGGCTCGATTACCAGCCGTTACCCAAGTCGCGGACCCCTCCTTAATGCCGGCTGGTAATCGAGCTTAGGCGTCACCTATATAGGGCATACCAATAAGACGTTGTTTTGGTTTGTTTATCTTTTGTTGAATGCTCATTAGTATGCTCTATATCATAGAGCCAACTAATGAGTTATATAGACCCACTGTAATTGCTATTAAGGTCGCTACGAGACAGTTTATGGGATATAGACCACCGAAATACTGAGTTCTGATTGGCTGTGTGGATGTGATCATGGTCTAAGACTGGAAAAGCAACTGATTATGATCACATACCCATGCATTTTATTAAAAGGTCGTTTGAATTAATATCCGAACCATTAAAACATTTACTTAATATGTCTCTTGAAACAAGAATATTTCCATATCAACTGAAAGAAGCCAAAATAATTCCCATTTATTTCCCAAGACTGGCGAAGCAGATAAGTTCACAAATTATAGATCAATTTGGGGTGTGGGTATTACTGATGAAACATGAAACATTTCAGTCGCTAACTAATTTTTAATTAACGAAATAAGAACATTTCCGGACATGCCATTTTCCAGTAACTAGTTTGAATTCGAATTAATGTACCGTAATTTGTTAAATTTTCGGTAATATTTTCGTAATGTTAGATTTTTAAAATATAAATTGTAATACCTTAATCTTGAGGATTTTCAAAATTAAATTAAATTTCTTCATTTTTTATCTTTTTCAATGCTTTAATTTTAGGGTCCATTATGGTAGGGGCCCACAACAAGTTCTCGTCGGCTCGTCCCTAGCCAGCAAGTCTTTGTCGCAACTGCTATTGACAGAAACGAATTAAAAGTGTTGGCGTTTTCTTACATTTGTTTAAAGCGTTTGACACTCTTAATCATAATATTCTATTATCTAAGCTTGAACGGTATGGCATATGGAGTAGCGTTAATTTGGGTTAAGAGTTATTTAAAAATCGAAAACAATTTGTCCAGTTTAATAATGTTTCTTCTACTCAAAAGCTAATAAAGTGCGGTCTATCTCAAGGATCAATATTAGGTCCACTGTTTTTTATTCTATATGTAACTGATCTCCCTAATGCCTCACAACTGGCAAGGCCTCTATTATTTGCAGATCATACTAGTATCTGTTACTCGGATGCCACAGTGCTGGTCACAGTGCTGAATGAAGCGATACAAAACATTGAAATTATGGATGAAGACTAATAAAATGTCCGTTAACATTGACAAAAGTAATTATGTTATTTTCCAATTTAACGAAAAGAAAAGTAAATAAGATTTATCCCTCTTAATTGATGACAAATTTATCACCCGAAAACAGCAGGTAAAATTTCTTGGTGTCCCGCTAGATGAAAACCTTTCATGGAAACCTCATAATAACTGTGATTGTAATAAAATCTCGAAATGAATAAGTGCAATTTACCGGCTTGTATTGACTTGTTGCCTAGTACTAAACTATTGTTGTTTTATACTTTAATTTACCCGTATCTTAACTAATACAATATCGTCTGGTCGTCTACATATGTTACTAACCTACAACGCATACTTATCCTTCAAAAACGAATTGTGAGATTACTCACAAATATTGGTGTTTCTGCCCATAGCAACCAGTAGCCAAATATCTCTCGTCTTTACTCAATCCTCTCACACACAACGAATTTAAATTATTTAATAAGAGATAGCTTTGACGCAGTATCACGTATTCACAACATTCCCCCACACTTATTCTCACAAGACTACAGATTTGTATCGTTTGATGTAACTTCTCCAGACCTCTCAACTGTGCAGAGAAGTTTAGAGTGAGATTGGGGATGTGGATGCCATGCACCTTGGAAAACGTCCGGGGGTCTGAAATGGCATTTCGTACATTATGAGAGTTGCTGTTTTTTAATGAAATACATTGCTTCATAATATCCTTTAAGACAAGGCACTTTAGTTACAATAACTGTATTTCTGCGACATACAGTGATCAGCTTTAATTTGCCTTTGATAATTTACATGTAGAATTCTGCTCCGACTGATTCTGCCTTTTGTCCGCCATATTTACATGTGCGTATTATTTTGTATCCAAATTGCGGGCAAATTGTCGGGCGTATATGCAGGAACAATAACCCGCGATTATATATTCGACTCGCGATCCGTATAATGATTAATAATGTGCATTTAATTAAGAATACAATATTATATTATTGAAAAAATACTATGAAACTGCTATATGCGTGAGATTTACTAAACGTGGCGTGTGAGCGTGAGAGTGAAGCGAATTGCGTGAGACTCACGCCGAATGCGTGAGAGTTGAGAGGTCTGCTTCTCTCTTTACCAACATTCCATTACGCAAAACTATCAATATAATTTTAGACAGAATGTTACGAACAGATGACTATAGATGAAGTACTTATAGTTTCCCGCCATATATCGCGGGCTCGGACACATGGGGAAAATAGATTTTATACTTTTATATTCTAACCGAGTTGGCGGTTAAAAATTCAATAAATTTGTCATAAAAATAGAGATTTTGAGTTAAACTAGGCAAGAACCAGCAAATCAGACTACGTTCTCAAGTTGGTGAGAACATTTGGACCTTCGACAGCCGGATTTAATCGGGAAATTTGGCAATTAAAACGAAACACAAGATCGTAAAAATCCAAGATGGCGGATACTTCTGGGACTTTGAAAAGTATAGAACGACTGAAACGTGAGAAAAGAAATGCAAAGACAAGGCTTACAAGAGAAAGAAACAAATTATACGAGCTCCTATCAACAACAAAAGCAAGTAAGAACACGATTAGACGATATATTAGTAAAATCAAATCGGAATTTCTTATAATAGAAAAATTACTAAACAAATTGAAAGAAATGTTTATATTCGAGAGCATACCAGAATCGGAAACAGAGG